GAATCTCCTTATGCAGACGTCCGTTTTCGTACGCCAGTTTATTTTTCTGTTCCATCATTTCCTTCATCACATTCTCTACACGAGTCTGAAAATCCTTTCGTTGGTCAAATTGTGACACTCTCTCTATCAGGGTGGCATTCTCATGCTCCAACGCGTTCCTCCTTTGTGTCTGTGTCTTCAGCTCTGATTTTAATTTTTGTATCTCGTTAGTCAACTTGTTACGTTCTTCTTGCATTGAGTCCACGGTCCGACTTATCGGAGACATAGGCCTAGCTGTATTCAGTAAAACACTTGTAGGTCGATGTTCAACGTTCAGTACTGTGGTTTCTGGCTTCTTACTCGTTTCTACAATGTTGACACTTGCTGATTTGGTGTGCTCGTCTCTGTCCCTCGTTAGTTTCATGTTGCATATACTTGTGTGGTGTTTTTTCTGACACTTTTTACACCTGTTGCGGGATTTACAATCTGAGGCGCAGTGGTTTCCTAAGCAGTTGAAACATAATTTCTTCCGTTTTAAGATGTCGAATCTTGCACTTACGTCTGTAACTTTCTTGCAATTCCCTGGAAAATGATTCTCTGTGCAACAATAAATGCATGGGCGGCTCTTCATCTCTGTTGTTTCAACATGAGGAGTTAACTCTCTTGTTTTCTGATTACGTGAATAATGAACGTTGTGTTGTTTCTTTGATGCTCCGGTAAGAAACATTGCTGTTGCGTGAAATCCATCGCTGTTTTCAATCTGGCCTGATTCAAGGATTGTGACTTCTCTGCTGATAGCTTTACGAAGATTTTGTAGTGAAATGTTGTCACCATCGTACTCACGTGCAATGTTTTTCCTAATTTCAGTTGGTAGCTTGTTGATTATAACTGGAATAAGTAATGCTCCAAACATCTCTTGTCTTTGTCCTAGACACTCTAAGCTCCTGACATGAGATTCCAAGAAGTCTCCATAATTTCTTAAACTAATGGCATCATTTCTGGGGGCAGGAAGTTCGATGAGTGCTTTCATATGAGCGTTAATAATTTTCTGTGGCTGACCAAATCGTTCTTTGAGCAAGTCTATTGCCGTTTCGTAATTAGCATTTGTAAGCGCAAATCCTGCTATTGTTTGTGCTGCTGTGTCGCGTAATTGAGCTTTGAGATAGCTAAACTTTTGAATTGGCGTCAAAGTATGATTGCAATGAATCGTTGATTCGTAAGAATCCCAAAATGTATTCCATTCTAATACATCTCCGTAAAAATGAGGAAGATCTAACTTTGGTAATCGGTGATTATTCGTGGCCTGTTGGGATGTTAATGACAAAACATTTTTCTGGCTACTTTGTGCATTGAGATCAGAGACAGGAACATTGTTCAAAAAATTCTCACAATCCGTTTCACTTGAGTTAATTGTAGCTGACGTGTTAACGTTATTATCATAAATTTCTGTGGCTGGTATGAAACACTCAGCATTGGCGTTCAAAGTTTTACATGGAATTTTTTCTGTGAATTTTTCAGTTTGCCTAATTTTACAGTCTAATTCATACATGTACTCATCTGTATTTGCGATTTCTGTTTCGATGTCCTCTTCAGAAAGGATATCCAATATGCGGTCATTCAATTCTTGTAGGGTCTGCCTTTTCAGCGCGAGAGACTTTCTAATTATGTTGATTTCCTCGGTAATTTCTTCACTGGCTGGATTTTCCTTCAAGTCCAAAAACCGTCTAAATAGCTTTGTAACTGCTGATCTGTTGCCTGCTCGCATAGCTTTTAGTCTTCCTTCCATTGTATGTACTACGTAGAATTCCGTCGGTCACGGCACCAAAATGTTGTGGAATGAAATGAAAGACGTCTTGATCGTATAGTGGTTTATTTGAGACTTGTTATTATCTATAGAAACAAACGAAAGTATTATGACGTCACAACAAAGTTTACGTTACATGAATTCGCGGATAATCCATGACAAGTATAGTTTTAAAGAAATCAAGATATCTTTATCATACTGCATATGCTGATACATATTGAGGAGAGCTATTCAACTTCATCTTCATTTTTGACCTCGACCTTTCCTTTGACCACCCTTTTTTCATTGTTTTTTTCATTTTTTTTTTTTTGCTCAAAGAAACTATTCCAGATAATTAGTCCCCTACCGGTGAAACCGGAGGGGACTATAGGTTTCCTTTGAGTCTGTCCGTCCGTCTGTCTGTCTGTCCCTCTGTCTGTCTGTCAGTCCGTCCCACTTGGTTTTCCGCACTTTTTTCCTAAACGCTTGCAAATATTGAGCTGATTTTTGGTATGTGAGTGTATCTTGATGAGTTACAGATCAAGTTTGCATTTCGTTCCGCTTCATTGATTTTTGACGGAATTATGGCCTTTTCAATTTTTACGGGTTTTCCGCAATTTCTTCTAAACGCCTGTAGATATTCAGCTGATTTTTGGTATGTGGCTTTACCTTGATTAGTTAAAGATCAAGTTTGCATTTCGTCCCGCTTCATTTATTTTTGACGGAATTATGGCATTTTCAATTTTAAACGGGAACGGAACCAGATTACACTTGCCGGTAGGGGACTAGTATTGCTAATGCAATACTCTCAGAATGCTTGTTTTTTTATGTAAGCTTATGCACTGATACATTATTTTGTGAGAATTAATTTATCAACTGTGTCCATTTTTCTTTTACCTCCACCTTTTCAATGACCTTTTACTTTGCTATTTATCGTGTATTTAACTAAGTTTTAAAGAAGCTATTTAAGGTGTTTTCATCAAACTACATGCACTAGTACAAATTTTCATGATGCATTACTAATTTAATTAACCCTGGACGGGGCATTCATGTACTATGGACATATTCCAGTTATTGTTATTATGCGAAAGGGTTATCTTCTAGATGTCCATGAGTAAAGAAGATTTTCACAGGTGTAATGCATTATTTAAATTTTAATTCATATATGACCAACTTACCAAACCCTGGGGTCTGAACACCCAACCCATTTTGTTAAGGTTCTAATTGTAAGCAAGCAAACATTTTCAAGTATCAAGATTGGTGCACCTGACTAGTGATAGAGGGGTCCTCGTCTAGCCATTTCTTTCCTGTCACACAATAAAAGATTAATTCCACATTTTGAAGCTTGAATAATGGGCCATGAATTTCATGTAATTTAGGTTGAAAGCTAAGTACTCATTATACTGGTAATCATGGAAACCTGCTAACTGCCCATGAGTACAGGGTTTTCAAAGAAAATATTCAAAGATGTCATTAGTTTTCAATATATGACCAACTTAGCTCCACCCTAGGGTCTGAACCAAGGATACAGGGAACAGGAATTTAGCAAAAAGTTAAATAATCATAACAAGAGGCCCATGGGCCACAATGCTCACCTGAGTTACTTTGGCCCTGCTGTTATTCACCAGACCCCCCCCCCCACCCCCCTTGTAATACTTATTGCGACCCGCTCTACCCCCGGGGCCTTGATTTGAACAATTTAGAATCTACACTACCCCAGGATGCTTCCACATAAGTTTCAGCTTTTTTGGACCAGTGGTTCTTGAGAAGAAGATTTTTAGAGATTTTGCCTATATATTTCAATGTAAAACTTTGATTCCCTATTCTGGCCCCGCCCTATCCCCGGAGGCCATGATTTGAACAATTTAGAATCTACACTATCCACGAATGCTTCCATATAAGTTTCAGCTTTTCTGAACCAGTGGTTCTTGAGAAGAAGATTTTTTTAATGACCCCACCCTATTTTTGTCTTTTCTTGATTATCTCCCCTTGTAAGGGGGGTTGGCTCTTCATTTTAAACTCCTCTTCACCCAGGGATGCTCTGTACCAACTTTGGTTAAAATTGGCTCAGTGGTTCTTGAGAAGAAGTTGAAAATGTGAAAAGTTTACAGACGGATGGACGAACGACGGACAACAGGTGATCAGAAAAGCTCACTTGAGCTTTCACCTCAGGTGAGCTAAAAATCAGGCAAACAGCTTCTTTGCTTCCTAGATGTCCACAGGTACCTTTTCAAAGATATATGACAAACTTGGCCCCATCCAGAAACCCAAACCTAAGGACTGTGGAGTTTCTAATTTCGAATGCACACTCATTGCTTATTATAATCATGCCAAAAGTTTGAGTGCTATATGTCTAGAAGTAATGAAGAAAATCTTTGAAGATTGCATTAAATTTTATGGTTTGGCCACATCCATATGGCTGCAGGGAGACAGAGACCATGAAAATCACAATTTCTGTACCTTTTATACCCACATATATGTTAATATGTACTAAAATTGGTTGAAATTGATTTAGCCATTTCAGAGAAGTTGAAAATGTCTCTACTTGTGCCCCAAATTTTACTGAAATAAGGCCAAAACTAAAGGATAGTTTTTTTGTTCTCTCACTTCTGAAAACAATGTGGGTCCACTATACCACGTATGTTCAACCTGTGCATAAAATTTGCTGATTATCAAAGATTCAAGATGCATTTATTGGTTGAACACGTAAAAACCACTGGTTTATTGACCAACCCACCAACAACAGATCTACCAGCCCAGAGGTGGAAAGCAATATGCCTTACTTATTCAACTGCAAGGGAGAAAAAAAATTACACATTAATCAAACCTACACTGTATTTAAAATTTTTAAATTTAATGGACCTGGGCCAAGATCAAAAGAACAATGTCCGATAAAAAACTAAATTCAATAGTGAAGGCAAATTGGGATAAAGCCCCAAAAGTTGTTGTTTCCAGCATATTGAGTATAATTACACAGAAGTGCATATTATTGTACATGAGATTGTATGTTATTGGTCTTTGAAATGATTCCTTTTTAATAAATAAACAAAAGAAATGCAAATGTTTACAATGTCACTAATTATAGTTATTTGTTTAATAATAAAATTTCAATCAAAATTCGTCACATATATAAATAGATTTGAAAGGGGGAGGGATCTTGAGGAAAACCATGTGAATTTACCGCGGTAAGTTTTTTGTCGGACATCAAACTTTTGATAAGTTATTAAACGACAAAGAGTTCACCACACAGAGGATTTTATTGGACTCTGATATCTCAAACATTACATTTGTGTTCTGACTTCTAGTTAATTTAATACATTCAATTTCACTTTGACTCTCCATACAACCAGTAACAGACAGATGACATATAAATTAAAACTCCAGATTTTGATGAAGTACTACAATACTTACAAATTATAAAAAACAGTGATTATATTAAAATCATTGAGGATACTAAGGGCTTAGTTACAAAATGCATCATTCTTGTGTTAAAAAAAAGAAAACAAAAATTACAGTCAGCCTACTTTGAAAAAAGTGTTATGGAAAACAAGTTGCTTTTGCCAAGTATGAATGAAACTTTGTCAGATATCTACTATAGTACAATACAAAACTACATCAAATGCCTCTCCTACTTGTGGGTGCTGACAACTAAATATTGTACTGCAGCTGTTAGTTTTTCAATAAATATAATCACAACAAATGTTATATGATTTTGACTTGTTCAACAAATAAAAAAAAGGAATAACAGTGTTTAAGACCCTTTAAATATAGCATACACACTACTAAATCTCTCACTCATTCACTTCTTTTTCTCTCTTTCTCTCTCTCTCCTCTACAGAGATCCCTATAACAAATATAGCATGTGTTACATATAGCATAATGATCATTTTACCACATCAGAAAAAAAAGAAGAAAACAATTTGCACAAATCTTATCCTGCTAATGTTTTGATGCATATCCAAACAAATGAATATATTACATAAAAAATATTTCAATACCACATGACATTGACACTTTTTGAACAGTCCACTTCAAACCAAACTTTTGACAGATAAAAAAAGCAATTATTGTAAATTAAGATATTGTTATACAAAGACAAGGAAATTCTTATTTACATAATAATATTAATACATGTACAACAAGGAATTAAATTTTCTGTCAATGTACACAATTTTTTCTAGCTGATACAATGAATTATTAGTGTACCATCATGATCAAAATAAAAATCATATATTTCATTGCAAAAACTTTGGTTGTCCAGTTTAATTTCAAAATTTGATAAATTGTAAACAACAATGCTTCCCAGAAAGGTTAAGTTTTTGCAGTTACTGTTAATTCTTTAATAAATTACGAGAGGGGGAAAACATTGTCATGACTAATACAATCTTAATAATATTAAAAGTTAGTTAAAAACAAAGAAAGCATCTGCAGGAATTTTCCAGCATAAGCTCTAATATTAAAAAGCTCAAAGCTTTTTACAACTATCATGTTGCCAAATTAACACAAATATCACCCAACATTCATACACTGTTACAGATCTTGACTTTCCAACACCTGTCCATTATCTTTTTCAACCAAAATATCTCTATCTTCCACTATATGTTACTTTTTCCATACTAACATAAAACTAGTTGAAAAAGAGAATACAGATTTTCCAAATGAACTTTTCAACTTTATCAGACATGCTTGAATATCATGAGCATTCTGTTCATTCTATCACATAAATTTTCTTAATTCATTCAAGAATTCTTTTTCTCATCATGTGTTACTTTAGCGGCCTGCAGTGGCAGCTGCTGTTGCTGTTGACTGAGCAACTTGTGCTGCTTTTTGTTTCAACATTGTCCAGTCAAATGTGTAATCATACTGATAATTCAGGGTTCGGAAGAGAATTCGGAATAGTTGCCGCAGGTACATGTAATCAGGAGCCTCTTCAAAGCGCAGTCCACGGCAATAGTTTAGATACATGGCAAACTCTGCAGGGAAACCTTTGCACAGAACTTCTACAGGTGTGGACATCTTTTTCTCACTGATTTTTTCATACTTTTGTTTCTTTGTGTTGGCTTTAAGTCCTTGCCATGGTAAACTTCCACGGTTGAAGTACATCAAAACGTATCCAAGGGATTCCATGTCATCTCTTCGGCTTTGTTCAATTCCTAAATGTGCATTGATACTTGCATACCGGGCAGTTCCAGTGAGATTTTTGTCTTCTCTGTACGCGATGTGGGTGCGTGTTCGGCTATCTCTGTACTTTTTGGCCAATCCAAAGTCAATAAGGAAAACCTTGTTGCAATGGCGACCTATTCCCATGAGAAAGTTGTCAGGCTTGATATCCCTGTGGATGAAATTCTTGTTGTGGACATACTCAATTCGGCCTATCATTTGATCAGCAAGCATTAAAACGGTTTTCATTGTGAATCTTCGAGAACAGAAGTTGAAAAGGTCTTCAAGACTTGGCCCCAAGAGATCCATCACAAGGATATTGTAATCTTTTTCTTGCCCATACCAACGAATATGAGGAATTCCCACACCACCCTGAAGAATCTTATAGAGTTTACTTTCATACAGTAATTGGGGGTGTCGAGCTTTTGTTGATTCAAGCTTTACAGCTACCTCTTCTCCGTTTGTTATGTTGATACCAAGATAAATGTCTCCAAAAGACCCACTGCCTATTTTTCTTACCAAACGATACTTTCCTCCTACCAGGAACTCGCTTTTCTGATTTGATCCGCCAGCGCTTTCCATCATGAAGAAATTTATCACAATACTTCTATTACAAAGTCTTGAAAATGGGAAGAATTTTTGTCCCAAAATATGGTAATCTTTTAGTTTGGCTCGGTTGCCATTTTGAGAGGGCTTGTCGTTGTCGTCGCAATAGATTACCCACAATTCCAATTCCCACTCGACGAGCTCAGACTTGAACTACGCATGTGTAACCGGAAACGTTGACATCTAATTTAAACTTCCTGTGTGAAGAAAGATGATGTGATAGGCTGGTAGTGAATCATTGCTTTTACTGTTGACGATAGGTCTTGCCGAGAAATCAAGGAAAATGAAGCGACCTGTTGTCGTGCCTCGTCAGGAATCTCTCATGTATCCAATTGTAAAAAATCCTTTCGTGCATAATCTACAATTTACTACTCTAGATATCGTTAGGGTAAGTTCTGCTTCATTGTTTTCATTGACGTTTCCAGTTTTTAATGCATAATATTTATTTGAATGGCAGCATTAAAATAAAAAGAAGTTAACGTTTTTAACATAATTGTGGAAATTGTTACAAAGCTCTGTTATGTGTTATTTTGACTTCATTCCTGCATGTCCCAAAAAAAAAAAAAAAAAGATTCTATAAAGTTATGGCTTTTCAAATGGTCAGTTTGGCTTGATATTTCTTTCTGGGCAATATCAAACTGTAGTAACTATTGCTTAGTTGCACAGCTGGCTCCAACTATGGCATCCATTGTATTTGTTTATATTGTGCAAGTTATAATTTCTGATATCACAATATTAAATATGTGCACACACATTGTCCCTCGATCCTGTTAACATTACATCAAAACGAATTAAAACAATAATTTATAAATCATATGCATTTGCATAAATATATAACAGAGATAGAAAGAAGAGATAATAATGTTTGATATAAGACTGCTAAAGGATTTGGTGGAAGACATGATGGTTTTTGACACTTCCTTGTTCAAAGATATTTCCAGCAAGATGGTAAAAAGCATGTTCCATAATACAAAAAACTTCCATCTTTGATACTGAGTTGGCTTTCTTGGTGGGGTTTATACATATGCAGTGTTTGTAAAAAAAAATTATGTTGAAGTTGTTGGATAATTCTATCAACACATTTATAAATATTTAGTTACCATGGGTCCAGTGGTCAACTTCTCTGTGTAGATTAACATGTATGCTACTCAACTTGAGGATATTGATGATTCAGGAAACATTCATCCTTTGAAGTATTTATTATGTAAAATGCAGGAAGGTATTTGTTAGCCAAAACAGTATGGTGATAAAATCTGTTAATTGACATAAGGAAATATATTAAAAAGGAATTTTACTGATTCTTAAGATAAAAACATAACTACAGATGTACCAGTGAAGGTTTTATCCTGTTCATGGCATACTTTTGATTGTAGTCTTTATTGAAATTATTGCCACAGTGTAGACTCACTAGGTTTCTTCATTTTTTTTAGATGATGTACATTTTACAACATTTCATTAATTTTTTATTATAAGCAATGAATTTCATTATTAATATATACTGTATGTGAATGAATTTTTCAGATTGTGATTATGTCTGTCACTATAGCACCTGTTAGACTGGTATCCTTGGCCCTGCTATTTGGACTTGCCTGGTTACTAGCAAAAATTTCATTGGCTTGTAGAACACCAGAAGAAAAACAGAAACCGTTAGAAGGATGGAGAAAGTAAGTATATATTATTAATTCCAGTTAAGTGTGTCGTTTTGCATTACGTCACAACCTATGATGACAGCTGCGCTCAAGGTAAATGTTAGACGCCTCCTAACCGCAAGCTTTATAACTGGAAGTTTCTTCTTATCCCTGATTGGTAGCTGGTGCAACAGACTATTTCCGCGTCAATGTTGATAAAATGAGTTGACCAATCACGCAGCGGGGGCGTGAATTGTTTACGCTGGGTGCATCTGTCGAAAAAGATTGTGACGTAATGCGAAACGGCACACTTAACTGGAATTAATAATATTAATAACACATCTGAAATTAAAAACATTGAATACAATCTTAATACATGTGATAATATTTTGCTGAAGTAAATTTCAAGCTTTATCTTTGAAATGTTTAAAACAAAAACTCTCTGTGTGTCAGTATGATCATTAAAAATAAAATAGCCCAAATAAATGTAAAAATATTTCTTCAATTGTTGGGATCCTTACAAATTAACAAATTACTTAGGCAGGCTAATATAAATTGTGTCAATATATGAAATATTACTATATAAAAAAAAAAGTATTTTATTTAAGCAGTCAGTAGCAAAATGAAATCTTACTTTTCATCACTCCAGATGATTTTGAGCACTTTTTATTCTGTAATTAATGCATTTTATTTGTTTGAATAATGTTTTATTTTAATATTAGGTTATGTTGTGCCTCAGTGATATATAAATTGAAGTATGCAAATGTTTTGTTATTTTATTGAAGTAGTATGAAAAAATATACATTGAAAAGTTGGACTGCATGCACAAAACTGTTCTCTTATACCCAGAATTCTTTTTTTATTGTTAATTTAGAATGTACACACTGATTTATAAGGGCGAAACGATTACATGTGTATTAAAATGGTGACATTTCAGTTAATTGCTCTAAACTTTTAGGAAATGAATAAACATGTACACACAGGTTTATCCTGTGAATTAAAATTAAATCTATTTCTTATTACTATCATGCTGTTTTTCCTCATATTTTTCAGTGAAAACACATTATTCATTAATTAATGATCTCTACTGATAATTAAAACATTTAGATGGACTGAACTCAATTGAACCCAATATGTCTAACATTATTTAATTACGATTTTCAATCCATTATTTATAATGATTATGATTTATACATATTTCAATATATAAATTTTAAAATTATTGATATTTGTAGTTGTTTTTTTTATTATTATTATTATCAAGACATTACGAATTTTCCTGGGAATCAACGTTGAATTGAATCTCAAAGTGTTAACCTGGATTTGATAGTGCTGTTCTATAACACTTTATTTGGATATGTGGGCAGAGAAGACATTGAATTGACGGGTGTTTTAGAGTGATTCAGTTCAATTCTTTTTATTCACAATGTAAAACATAATAATTATAGAGTAAAAAAATTCATACATGCAACCCCCCAAAAATGTTAATTTCATAAATTCTCTATATTTGAAAAGTTTGTAGCCCTATAATTCAACACAATATAATTTCCTATTTAAATGAAACTGTTTTGTTTACTGCTGTTCATTTAAATATTTTAAATTTTCAGTAAGCGTTTCACCTGATTAAGTTACTTTTATCACATGTTTACTCCTTTATACAGTGGATATAGCTTACAGGATATTGTTTTCATATCCAGTGTTGTGACATCACAATGGTTTTTGCATGAATTTGATCAAGTCAAATATTGTGGATTTACATATATATAAAACACTTTTTGGGAGTTGAACTATGTTCAATCTCCCTGGTCATCACAGGCTTTCTAAGCGCAGTAATTTGTATTGATTATATAGTGGCCTTCCGTGGGGCTTCTGTGTCGACCAATTTACTCCTATGATATTCAATGTAAACTTGCATAAACGTCCGCCATAAAATAGTCCATTTCAATTTTCTGAATTTATCTAATTTTGATAAATGATATGAAACTAAATACAATTGAATTTCATTTAACTTAATTTGAATACTATATTTTGATTAAATTAAAATTGATTTATACAGAACTAAAAAAAAATGTTGAAAATTGTCGTCACAAACCTCCTTTGCAGCACAAACAGCGGCACCTATAAACAATGAGAGGGAAATTAACGACAACTCTGCACATGTGACTATATGACTGCGCGAAACCTCTTTGCATTGACTGACGCGTGGTAAAAATTATTTCACAATCAAAGTTATACCTTTTTTTAGCCATAAATATTCGAAGTTTTCAACAATATTTATTTGGTAATACAATAAACATCAAAAGAATAAACAAATTACATTGATTTGGCTATAATTGAACAATTGTTCGTTTAATATTGAATCCTAACACGTTTAACATCGAAGAGGAAGAAAATCGAAGAGAAGGTGATTAACTTACACAGAAAGATAAAACTTTAAGATAAATTACTAGATTAAGCTTTTTGAGTTTTCAAGTTGTTTTCATGTGGCATAAAATTTATAAGCATTTCACATATGAAATTCTTGATAAAATAAGTCGGAACAGCCAGGTCTGACATTCGAACTACATGTACGTATGTAAATTTTAAGTGGGAAAAACAACCAATTATAACCGTTTACGTTAGATCATCTAACAAGCTGAAACTTTTTAGGTCACCTGAGTCACTCAGGTGACCTATTGCTATCTGTTTTCGTCCGTCGTCGTCCGTCGTGCGTCGTGTGTTAACATTTGAACATTTTCAGCTTCTTCTCTGAAACCGCTGAACCAATTTCAGCCAATTTTTGCATGTGGCATCTATGTGTGAAGGGGAACAAACTTTGTGAATTTCATGGTCCCTGCCCCCCTGGGGCCTGAGGGGTGGGGCTAAAACCATCACAATTAATGCAATCTTTAAAAATCTTCTTCTTTACTCCTGGACATCAAGCAGTCAAACTGTTGACATGATTGTAATAAGCATTGAGCCCTCTACCAAATTTGTGAAATTCATGGCCCCAGGGTCAGGGGTTCTGGTGCTAGGGCGGGGCTATATAGATCATATAGTGAAAGTGCATTATTTCTTTGAAAATCTTCTTCTCTACTCCTGGGTATTATTGAAACAAATTGAATACATAGTTATGATAAGCAAGGGTGACTCTACCAAAATTGTGAAATTCATGGCCCCAGGGTCAGGGGTTCTGGTGCTGGGGGGGGGGGGGGGGCTCTATAGATCATATAGTGAAAGTGCATTATTTCTTTGAAAATCTTCTTCTCTACTCCTTGGTATTATTGAAACAAATTAAATACATAGTTATGATAAGCAAGAGTGACTCTACCAAAATTGTGAAATTCATAGCCCCAGGGTAAGGGGTTCTGGTGCTGGGGGGGGGGGGGGGGCTCTATAGATCATATAGTGAAAGTGCATTATTTCTTTGAAAATCTTCTTCTATACTCCTGGGTATTATTTAAACAAATTAAATACATAGTTATGATAAGCAAGAGTAACTCTACCAAAATTGTGAATTTCATGGCCCCTGGGTCAGGGGTTCTGATGTTAGGGCGGGGCTCTATTTATTATATAGTGAAAATGCATTAATGCTTTAAAAATCTTCTTCTCTGCTTCTGGGTATTATTTAAACAAACTAAGTACATTATTATGATAAGCAAGGACACCTCTTCCAAAATTGTGAAAGTCATAGCCCCAGGGACAGGGGTTCTTGTGATAGGGTGGGGCTATATAGCTCCTACAGTGAAGGTGAATTATTTCTTTGAAAATCTTCTTCTCTGCCCCTGGGTACTATTTAAACAAACTATGTACATTGTTATGATATGCAAGGATGCCTCTTCTAAAATTGTGAATTTCATGGCCCCAGGGTCAAGGGTCCTGGTCAAAAGGTGGGGGGGGGCTCTATTGATTATATAGTGAAAAATCAAAATTTCTTTGAAAATATTCTTTTCTGCTTCTGGTTAAAAAGCAAAGAAGCTAAGTATATAGTTATGATGAGCAAGAGTGCTTCTTTCAGAGTAGTGAATTGCATGACCCCTGGGTCAGATGTGCTGGTATAAGGGTGGGGCTGTTGATAATGTAGTGAAAATGCATTAATTCTATTAAATAATCCTGTCTGCTCCTTAATGTTAAGCAAAGTGATAACTTATGATGAGCAAACTTGAAACTTCTGGTCCCAGGGTGAGAGGCTCTGGTGTTTCTCAGTGGTGAAGGGGGGGGGGGGGGGGGAGAGGCTCTATTGATAATATAGTGAATCTGTAGTGAAAATGCATTATTTCTTTAAAAATCTTCTCTGCACTTGGGCATATCAGAGGCAAAAAGTGTAACAGTTGTAATAAGGTAGGGTATTTTTACCAGATTTTTGAACATATGGACCATTTGGTCAAGTGTTCTGGTCCTAGCCAGGGCTCAATTAATTTGCATTCTACTGAGAGGAGTTATTCCCCTTTGCCGTTTACTTTTGATAATTAATCATTGTAAATAATGTACTTGAAAAATTAATAGAATAAGAGAATTATGCAAGAATTTTTATTGTATAATACAAAAAGTATTTTCATAGTTTTAATGATCATGTGGACTTGTAAGTAATAGATAAATAAAAATGAGACAAAAATAACTTGTCTTATTAAATGTTCATCAAAGACCAAGAGAGGCCAATGTAAGAGATTACAACAAGGAATTAAAATAGTACAAAAGCACTGACAGTTTGTTAATATACTGTATGGTGATAGTGATAAATGGGGAACAGATTAGAACCTAATCTATGAACTGTTAATGAATAGTAGACTAATTATTTTGTTGATCCTGATCACCCTATTTTTCTTGCTTTTGGGCAACAAAGCTTCACCTTTCATTTCATTTTAATACTCTATGGATCCTCTAAATTGTTGTATTCTACTCAGGTGACCGTTAAGGCCCTTGGGCCTCTTGTTTTATTGTTATTTTTCAAAGTTCCAAACAATTAATAGTCATGTGATGAAGGAAATAAACCATGGCAAAATCTTGCAAATATTTCACCTATGCTTCTAAGTATATTAGGACAGATACAAATGTAA